GTTCAACAAGAAGGTGAGGCCCTTCTTCAGCCTTTCAAGTGCTGCTCTCGGCGGGATTGTGATTCATATTTTTGTGTAGGAGCTCTAAGGATGAGAAGGATGCTGGAGAACCATGCTATGCCCATGGGCCTGTCTTTTCCTTTGCTTAGGGGGCACATTCCTCTCCCATGAAGACAGATTACCCAGCATGAAGCTCAGAGCCTTAGAGACAGCAGGTTGGATAGTCAGAGGAAATATGTTCTGACAGAGGTAGGACCCATGGTTACCACCAAGAGTTGAATCTGACTGATAGATACTCTTTCAATTATGAAAAAGACAAGGATAACATGCACACTCTTGATCAAACAAGGTCTCCTGCTGACACTTGAAAGGAATCTTCTTATATGGAAGGTAACATCAACAGCTAAGATGCCACGATAGGAGGGAAGACCAGAAAAGATGTTCTCTTCTCTTTTCCCTCCTCCCTTCCTCTCCTTTTCTTCTCTCCTTCTCTTCCTATCAAGCAATAGAAGCCCATCTTTGAATTGCTAGAGAACTATCATAGACTCAATTGCTGATACATACATAGCTTTCAAGAAAATATTATTTCTATCTCTATTCAAAGACCAGACCACTGAACTGGTGGGCTTTTTCCCCCTTTCCCTCTTCTCTCATTTCAGAATGAGGAAAAACAACAACGACATAAAACAGCCAAATAAGCTATGGGTGTCAGAAACAGCTAATATTGCTTGTGCTCCCTGTATTCATTTATTCCTTTCTTTCTCCTCCCTCCGTCCCTCCCTCCCTTCCTTCTTCTCTCCTTCCCTCCCTCCCTCCCTCTCTCCCTCCCACCTTCCTTCCTTCTCTCATTTTTTCTTTCCTCCCTCCCGTGCTTCCCTTTCTTTCTTCCCTTCCTCTGACTTTCACATTAAAGCACTTTGTAGTGACTTCTTTCCCAGGCTCTAAGCTCTGTAAAGTCAGGGGTTCTGGCTGATTTACTCGTTCCTGTATTCCCAGCACTTAGTCCTATGCCTAAATATTTGTTGAGTGATTGAATTAATGGGATTTACTACCCGTAAGATAAAGTTAAAGATCTGTAAACACAGAACCAGTTAACATAAATAGTACAAACATTACTTTATAGATCTTTTTTATCTGCAAAGGTTTGATTAGAGGAGAATTTCCTAAAATGTGTTAAAAATATTAGCTCTGAAGAATAAAAATAGACTTTTTGACAAAATAGGTTGGGGGAACCTATGGAAAATAGTTGGGTCCTCTACATTATAGAGGGTTCAAAGAGATCTTTACTATTTCCCAGAGTTTTCAAGTACAGATTTTCACTGTGAATTTCTTAGAAACAGACATAAATTATTTGACCATGTTATCTTTTTACCTGGCATAGCTGATGGAAATGGTATTCCATAAAACATGTTTTGAACAACTAGCATCTTAATTTAGTTTTTCAAAAAAATTTTCTTTCTTTTGGATTTAAATACTAATTGTTTTTCTACAGTAAAAATTACCACTAAGTTAACAGTACTGAACTGCGCAGTTAAAAATGGGGAAAGTGGTCAATTTCATTTCATTTTTATTTTACCACAATTAAAATACTATTTAAAAACCTCTAAAATATTAATTTACTGAGAAGTAACAGGAATCAATCTTTTCCCTAACGACTGCAACAATCCAGCCAGAATTAATGATATTGCCAATAAAGGATTTCTTTTTGATCTATAATGTCAAAAAATTCCATTTACCACCCAGATACTATATCTTCAGGAAGCATCCTGATTTTGAACATATGGCTGTGACTCTCTTGGCGTGAGCGTGTAGCCATATATCTTAGGATGCCTGCACATACAGACCTATGACTGCGTTTGGTTAGGAGAGAAAGCCTGGAACCAGGAGACAAGAAACTGGGTAACAAAATTGACATTGTCACTCTCTCAGTGTACAACCTTGGGTGAACCCTGTTTTCCTTTTCTAGAAGAGCCTCAGTCAGTAATTTTTCACCTCTTCCCTCCAGCATGGGATTTTCATGAGTAAATCCTAATGGAACTCTAATATACACAGCAGACAATAGCAGAGGTACTCTGGTCTCAAGGGGGCAGGCGGCTGCTTGGCTCTTTCCAAGTCTTACACCTGCTTCTAGGAGTTAAGACTGAAATAGAGAAGAATGTTTGTGTTTGTTATAAAGCTTGTGACCCACACAGTATTCAGCTGTTAAAGAATATAGAACACTGCTACACTACATGTGGTGAGCACCTTTTGAATTTCAACACATACTTTAGATTAAAAAATAAGAAAAATATTAACAGAATGTACCCTTCCCCCTGTCACTTTATGTATACATTTTAACATAAAAGCTTGATGGCAGGTTAAAATTGAATGCAAATATTATTCCTGAAAAGTTGCCCATTTATATAGTTTTCTTAGGCTCTCTTAGTTTATAATGGGAAGGTTTTGCTAATAACAAAAAGTGTTAATTACATAAATATGCGTGTTCTTTTTAAAGCCTTACACTATATTATGGGTAACACACAATAGAAATAAACAGAAAACTGCTTCTGGAACAGCCTTTAACATCAGGACATGTTTACTGGGAAAATGCGCTGCTCATGACAGGGTTACCAAAGCAATATTAACCTTCTTGAAATGTAATACCAAAGTCAGACGTAAAAATCGGTACCAGACATGGTAATGTCACTACTTTGCTAGGATTGTATATAGAACAAAGCAGATATTTAAAGCTACATTAAGGTATGGATAAATAAAGAATGCTTTAGAAGACGTAAAACACACAGACATCACAACCAAAATCATGATACAGATTGTCCTAAAGACAGCATTCTTGGAGATGAAAACTTTGTGCTTTCTTTTTATTTATTTTTTTCTTTTGGGCACTGCTGCTTTTGCGATTTTGTGCAGGCTATTAAACGTTAAACTTGTCCTTAAAGCAAATTAAAAAAAAAAAAAGACAGCCATATCTATCTTTTGGGGTAGGCATTTGTTATATTGACAAGTTATCAAACACTTTCACTATATCTGATAAGACTAATGAGTCATTGTAATCTATAATCAAAAACAATGTTTGCTTCTGCGGAAAATAATGATTGACCCCAAACTAGATTTTATAATAAGCAAAGAATTCAAAGTAGCGGTTTAAAACGTATGATGAAAACACTATAAAATTGCAATTACCATCAAATGCAAGTTAGATTTACAAAATAATTTTTCAACAAATTAATTTTGTTGCTATTGTATTATTGTAAGACCCATTACTTGCCTAGTCCTGTAGTATTGATGTTTAAAAGGAATTCATGTTTTAAAATAACCCTAAAATATTTCAATAAAATCTCTTAGGGAGTTTTTCTTATTCTAGAGAATGTTAGCTTGAGGCCTCTTTAAAAAATAAAGGTCAGAAGTCAGAAAGGATAATAGCTGATGGTTTTGATAATGCTAATTATATATTACTGAGAATAAAGGTAGAAAGGGAAATACGAATACTAAAGAAAGATAAACATCCCAATGCTGGATTTTAAAAAAATAATGAAAAACCCTTAAAATGTCTTTGTACGTCACTGTCATAATTCAAAGACATAATGAAGCCTGAATTAAAAATGTCAGTTTCTGTGAGTGTTGATAACTTGGTTCTTTGTTGGGCAAGTCAAAATGTGTCTGTTTGATAGGCAAAAATGACAGACTAAAAATGGGAGAAGAATCTAAAAAAAGAAACACACACACACACACACACACACACACACACACGACTTTTAAAAAAGGCCCATAATGTACTTGAAGGAGAAGACCTGTAGGGTAGGAGGCAATATCTTTAGGAAGTCATCAAGCAGCACTAAAAGGCAATGTCCATGGCCAATCAAAACAGTTTCTCTGACTGCTGGGGTTCTTGCATCTCTGTCTTTACACTAGACTGGAAACCCTTTGTACTAATTACCAGACTGTACCAGATTTTCTGGTTCAGTTCAATCTCATAATTGACTGACAGTGATGGGCAAGGAGGGGGAAAAATTCAGGCTCACCACTGCAAGCAGAGGGTCAGAAATGGTTTCACAGAGAGCTAGTCACAGCCTGGCACTGAAAACAGGGTTAAGCAAGCATCATCAGCAAGTTCTTGTAATTCCCAGGTTAGAAAGGAAGTTAGGAGGAAAAAACAACAATCCGTGGCCGCTCTCCTCTTACAGATCAATCCTTAGCATGCAACCATTGCACATAAAATAAGTGGGGAATAGCCCTAAGTGTAAATTGTAATTTTAGGTGTCACAAAATTTTAGATGATTGTTATTTTGCTATTGGGAAGTAGATAAAGGTTTGTCTCCCAAACTCAAATACGTCGTCTTTCTTAAATTAAGTAGGCTTTTGTTCTGTTTACAGTAAGGAAGAAAAACAATGCTGCTATTTCATTCCTAGGGCTCAAAATAATTAAAGTGCAAGGCATATTTAGCCTATGATGTGTTACATAATCAAAGTTAAGCATTTGAAAGCACTTAACATCAAAATTCTCACATCTTTTACTTGTTTGTAATTCACTGATTTGGATTTACTGTTTATCCGTGGTTAGTAAAATTGTTACCCATAAATCCATACTTTTTAAAATACAAGATTGAATAATAATTTACATGAACTTAGAGTCAACGCATTGAAAAATAGAACACATTGAGCACTGTATTAAGGACTCATTCGGCTGACGACCATTTGCTATTTACTTAGAACTGTTCTTTACCCACTTTTCTTCTAACCAAAAGAGCAACCATAGCTTTAGCTACACCAAACATTAAAAACGCAGATGTCAGAATCAGGGTCAAAATGAGAAGTCAGGCCATTTGGTAGGCAAGTGAGAATTATGTACTATCATGTTGAGGTCAATTGACTTGAAATTTAATCACAGTTTAAGCCCCTTTTCTTTCCAGGCTAAAGAGTAAGCAACACCTGTGCCAGCAGCAGCTCACATTGCAGTTGACATAGCAGCCAGTTCAATTTTTAGTTACAAGTCAATTACTTACTGGAATAGAAAGAGAACATTTCATTCATTCCATGGATGGCCACTTTTCCGAAGAAACCTGCCAGGCTTTCTTTCTCCAAAAGAAGAAAAGAGAAAAAAAAGTGAAAGTTAAAAATAAGTGCTGTACTGCAAAGTTTTAGAGCTAGGCCAGTACACTACAGCAGAGAAGTTGTGCGAATAGCTTACCTTCCAAATACTGAACAGAGCTGTCTTGTAAGTGAGGCCTATCCCAGCTGGTAAGTCCTGGGAGTTTCCTTATCAGAATTAGGTAAAATTATAATAGGTGATCTACACCTGAGAAGAGGGACCAGCTGACTGTGTTAAAGGAGAGAGCAAATGAGTAAAATGTCTTCCCCCAGCTACAGTCAGCCCTGGTGCAAGGGGAGTTTCAAATGCACTGGCTATAGACTTTTGTCCAAAGCTGTGGTTCTTTTTTTTCTTTTCTTTTTTTCTTCTTTCTTTCTTTTCTTTTCTTTCTTTCTTTCTTTTTTTTTTTTTTAGGGAAGCTAGATTAGTTCATACAAAACTCAACAATACAGCACTGAAACCCATTGTTGATATTCAACATTTTTCACATAGCGGAACAGAATAGACAATACGGTATCTAGGAAACCATGGGCTGGATTACAAACTGATGATATCTCATCCTTCTGGGGGCCTGTAATCCTTTTTATTACCTACCACAGTAAAAAAAAAAAAAAAAAAAAATCACTGTGTGTGGGGAACTCTCTCAGAATAAATCAATAACATTGCCATTCATAGGAAAATAGGATAAATTAAAAGGAAATCTTGCTTACATCACTAAGTCCCAAAGTGCTATTTGCCTTTTATGCAAGTTAATGATTTTTTAAATTGTTCTTATCTTAACCTTTATATGAACTTTCATAGTTCTGAAAAAATTAAATTATCTGTAAATATTTGCTTAAAGACAATGCTCACAATTAACTTGGGTGTTCTATTCCTCATAATAAATACTTGGAAAGTCATTTATCTCAAAGTGCCTGAGGTTAGAACCTAAGGCATGAGTACAAAGTAATTTTCATTAATTTGTTTTAAATACATGTGTTGGGTTATTAGTAAACTATATTTATTCCTCCATTAAGATCACACTGAAATTCAAGATTTTCTGGGCTTATTTACTTGCTCTAGTTAAATAATTAATTTTTACTTTTAAACTTTTCATTGTCTTTTAAATTTTTCATTTAAAAAATGCATTTCCTGATTGTGCATACTGCAAAGCCATTCTTTACAAGGAAGTTATGCCTATTAACCTTCTTGAAAATCTGGTCCAATCCCTTTTTAAAACGCAATCCAGTTCCCATACTTTTCTTATGCCCCCAACTGGTCTAGGTAGCCACAGAAGTGATTGTTCCTACCAGTTTCTTTTCATCACTTCTGCAATTGACCAATTGACAACTGATTGATGGTTATCTTTTCACTTCAACAATGAAAGAAATTACCATCACTATAGCTATGTACAGTAAATGCCTCCATAGTAAACTGCATGATTCTAAAATTCTCCTTAGCTCACTTAGTAAAACATCAACACAAAAAAGTTTCTTTTTTGGCCTCCTTTCCTGTACCAGAGATTTGGCCTTTCCTGTCAGCTACAAAAAAAGAACTTGACAGCTTCTTTAAAAAGAGGAGTATAAAGGAACTTGAATAAAGGATGGCACTGGGCCTGTCTCAAGCAAGTGGCCATTCTTTACACTTGGAAAAAATCAGGCATGTGGGCACAGATAAGCCCTATAAGAATACTCTGAGGACTATTCCTGGTGACCTTGAGATTCTCCTTCCTGCCTTAACCATTCCTGAACATTAGAGAAACAACATAGATTCTAAACACGGAGTTTCAACTTATTTCGACTAGGTGTTTTTTTATTTTAATTGAAAGTGAAACACCCTTAAATTTATTAGCTTCCTTTTTTCTTTAGCACTGGGAGGACTCCCTTGCTCTAACAGTGCTCAAAAAAATGCTATTATGTCAGTGCCATATTCATTCATTACATGTTGATGGACAAGAGCTTTAAATTCTACCTCCACATCTAAATTTACTGTAAATGTAAATTTACTGTAAATGAAAGCCTTGAATCTTGTCAGGGAGAGGGATTCAAATATCCTTTTGCTATCCCTGTGCAATTAAAATCATGTTTTCTAAGGGAAGTAAAGATACTGCTATAAAAGATTGGGCTGATTTACTGTCTTATTCCCCCACCCCCACTTTAAGATCACATTTTTAAAGTGGAAAAAAACTACACACACCAGAGTAGTTGAGAAGCATGATTTTTCACTATTTCCCTTGATGTTTCAGGTTCATCAAATTTGTTCTACTGCATATTTTTTTTAATGGTTCTCCTAAAAACCATTTTCTAAAAATTAAAAAAAATGAACTATAGTTTTATTGTGTAGAATTATTTGGCACAGTTAAACTTTTCCCACTCCATCAATATTATTAGGAAAAAATAATTTTTATTCACTAGCTATTCCATCTAAGATGGGTTAGTTTTTTTCTATTTCTGGCCTCAGTTATCTAACCAAATAATAACCAACTTTATGGTTTTTTACATGGTAGACGCTATAGAATGAATGAGAAATACGGGTGAGATTCTGCCCAGCAGAAGAAGGTAATTTATTTTTGGAAACAAGATATAAGTGTGGGAAATAAATGCTGAATGAAGGTGTACAGGTTATGTCGATACATACACATGAAACGTTATGTATTTTCAAATACTTGGCATCAAGATGACACTAAATTTTGTTCACGTAAAAATGATTCATAATCTTTCACATTATCTTTGCTATATTTGTCAGTGATATTATTCTTCAGACATCCCAGGTGACATTTATAAAATATCATATTTATATCTATAGTTAATCTCTAAACGCATACTCCTCTGGACCTACCACAGGTCATAGCTGCATTAGTAACACTGATTCAAGATGCTTTAGTCTCGATCTTTTAGCCTCGACATTTAGCCTCAATCTTTATCTTTTTTTATTTTTTCAAAAAATAATTTCTTTCCAAATTCATATTGAAATCCTATCTTTTTTCTTCTTCTTCAATTTTTTTTTTTTTTGCTTATTTCATGAAGTCTAAACTTCCCTGCTCAGTTCCCAGGGCTTGGCAAAATACAGTTTCATGGTAGAACCTCTCTAACATTACTATTTATTAATAATATTTCTTACTATTACATACATGCCTAGATGCACGCCATGACATTTCATCTTCTGTCTTCATCCTAGGTATTCAAGGTCCAACTGCGCCATACTACACTTAGGAATCTTGTCCTGCAGTGGCACCCATGCAGGTCTCTCTATTCCTACATGTTTTTTACACATTATTATTATTAGTATTGGATACAAGGTTTTGCTCTGTCACCCAGGCTGCAGTGCCGTGGTATGCTCATAACTCACTGTAACCTCAGACTCCTGTGTCAAGTGATCACCCTGCCTCAGCCTCCTGAATAGCAAGGACTACAAAGATGTACCACCATGCCTGGCTAATTTTATTTTTATTTATTTATTTTGGTAGAGACAGGGGTCTTGCTGTGTTTCCCAGGCTGGTCTCAAACTTCTGGCTTCAAGTGATCCTTCCATCTCTGTCTTCCAAGGTGATGGAATTATTATTGACTTTGATATACATTTGGCTCAGTTCTAATGCCACCTCTCTTATGAAGATTTCCTTATCACATGAGATAAAATAAATCTGTTCTTTCACTATACTCAAGAGTTTATTATAAGACATAATCTTGAACTGCATTTGCATATTATTTTTCCCAGGTAGAAGTTAAGCCCCATGAGGAAAGGAGCTAATTATATATATCTTTTTTATGTCCAATTATCAACATATAGATGCTCAATTAATGGTTATTTGATAAAGGCACGATCCTTGTTCCTAAGAAACTCTCATTTCAGGGAGGAGTTTCTGTTAGCTGTGAGATTAAGATGGTAGCTGAGCATCTTAAAGAAAAAGAATTGGCAGTTGGAACAACAAGCAATTCCTTTAAAAAGTAAATTGAAAGGCCGGGCGCGGTGGCTCACGCCTGTAATCCCAGCACCTTGGGAGGCCGAGGCAGGTGGATCACGAGGTCAACAGATCGAGAACATCCTGGTCAACATGGTGAAACCCCGTCTCTACTAAAAATACAAAAAATTAGCTGGGCATGGTGGTGCGTGCCTGTAATCCCAGCTACTCAGGAGGCTGAGGCAGGAGAATTGCCTGAACCCAGGAGGCGGAGGTTGCGGTGAGCCAAGATCGCGCCATTGCACTCCAGCCCGGGTAACGAGTGAAACTCCGTCTCAAAAAAAAAAAAAAAAAAGTAAATTGAGAATGTAAAGTGAGTATTTAAGTGTTTTCATAGTGAAGATTATCTATCTCAAAGCCAATCACTTGGAACATAGGCAATTGCAACTGATACACAGTTATATTTTTAGGCCAGTCCAAAAAATGCCTATTTGATCATAATTTAGCTGAGTCATGGTGACACAGCCATTTATGGAACACTAGGTAGTTTGAAGCACTGTAATAAGTATTAAAATTATTTCATTTCCTTTTTCACGATAACCTCATGAGGTGGGTATTATCATTGCCATTTTACAGATAGGAAACTTGGACTTAGAGAGGTGAACAGTTGCCCGGGCCACCTAGACATTGAATGGCAGAGCTGGGAATGGAGCTCTATGATACTGCGTATCAACTGCAATTGTCTATGTTCTAAGGCTCCCATGCCTTACATTACTCAAAACTGACCCCACTAGTAGAGATCATGTTAGTCCTTAGTTAATGACTATGAGGAATCTGTATATGAGGAATATGGGGTAAGAAAAGAAGAAGGAAGATGATTTTCTATTAGTTTCTTCAGCATACAATGAGTCTCAGGCACCATAATTAAAAATTACTCTTGGTGTACACTGATTTTTCTTCACACACATCTCATTGAGTCGGATGCCCTTCTCAATCTTCAGGCTCCCACTGTCCTGGTTTTTCTTTGGTTTTTGTTTTTCGGAAACCTCTCCGTGGGGCTCTACCTAGACTGTCAGTGTTCTTCATGCTCCCCTTCTCTGTTCATTCAAAATACCTATTACTTTAGAACATATGGTAACATAAAACCAATCTAGATAAAGTGATTCTTGTCAACATGTCAATGATGGATAGATGTTGGATTCTTCTTCTTAATAAGCAGTTTGAAACAAATGCTTATTAACCTGAGTGCATCTGCAGGGATAAACGTTTCAAGCCTTGAAGCTATGCAAAGTAAAGCAGCTATTTCTCACAGAAGCCTTAATGCACGAACAGAATGGAGTTTGAAACACAGGTGATGGTGATGTGTATGGGATGTAAGAAATTGCGTAAGCAGGCCAGGCCTCCCTGAGAATCAGCTTCCTTAGCAACTTTTAATTTGGGTGATACAGTCACAGATCCTCTGGAGACTATGTTGAAGGCTATGCACTTCCTCCCCGGTTACACACAAACTTTTTGCTTATCATTTTATGGAATTAATGGACCTTTGAGGAAACCATGGGGCAAACCCCTAACCAAAGCTATTGCTTTTCTCAGCGGGATTTCCTTTCTTCTACTTCTAAACATCTGTACCTTAACTATGATTGCATGTTAGAATTAACTGGGGATCCCATTATCAGATATTTTGATTTAATAGGGCAGTAGTGTGTCCTGAGGAACAGTAATTTTCAAAAGGCTATTCTAGTGATTCTGGTGTGCAGCTATGTTTAAAACCATCTTTTCTTTCTTTTTCTCTCTCTCTTTCTTTCTTTATTATTTTTCTCTTCCAGGAACATGTGCACTTTATTGAATGCCATTGTAGGATAAAGGGGTGATACAGGGCTCGGCTTGGGGGCAGGGCAGGGAATGGAAGGGGGAGGGAGTACGTGGAAAACAGGTCATGGGCAGAGCCCCTGGCCTTGATGATTCCTCTGGATCTATTGATATGCTTGCGGAATCAGTGTTGGGATGATGATAAGCAGAATGGTCATGATGATGCCCCAATTCAGGGCCCAGACGTTCAGGCACTTGGCAGTGGAGGCGTAGGCCTGCGCTCCGGTCAGGTCGCCAACCATCTTCCTGTCCCTGGACTTGATGGAGTAGGTGACCACTATGAAGCCCCGGCAGCAGAGTTCATGAAGAGGGTGTTGAACAGGGACCAGACGACATGGGCACGGAGGTCTTGCTGTGGATGTGGATCATGGTGGACATTGGGGAGCAGGGTTGTGGGGTGCCCACATTGCAGCCACCTCATGCTCCTCCTTCAGCATCTCATAGTTGGGGGGACGGTCAGTGTTGGCGGGAGTGAAGGTTTGGCCAGTGTGGTTCATGGTGGCTGGGGAAGGCGAGCTGTGGCTGGGTTGCTGGGTGGTTCTCCTAAAAACCATTTTCTAAGCTAGCGATGCTCAAAGCATTGTCCCTGAAGTAGCAGCATCAGCATCACCTGGGAACTTGTTAGAAATACAAATTCTTGGACCCACCACAGACTTATCAAATCAAAAAACTCTGGGGATAGAGTCAAGCAAATCATCTTTCAACAACCCTTCTAGGTAAATTCTGGTGAAATCTTAAGTTTGAAAATCGCTGTTCTAAGCTGTTGGAGACCTTCGGAACTTCGAGTAACAAGTCAGTGGCAAAGGCCTCCTACTTTACTGCCTCTCAGGGTTGTGGTCACTTTGTGAATGAGTGGTTGTTTTAATGTAAGGATGGCATAGGAGGGTGGCAGCACAGAGGGCATTCTGTCAACAGCAGATCTAAACATGAGAGACATTGTCATAGAAAGGGCAACTTAAGCTGCCAGAGTGGATGAATTGTCTGAAAGTATGTAGCGTGTACAGTGAGAAAATACACCAAGGGAAACAACACAGGGAGTACTTATAGCTGGAGGCAAGATGGAGAAGAAACACCAGCAGGAAGGAGAGAGAAAACTGGCAGAGAGACGGGAGAAGGACCTGAATGAGGCAGTGACATAGAAACCTAAAGACAGGCTGGTCAGTCTGCAATTTAAAATGGGCCTGAAATTGATTCACTTGATCTTAGAAAGTGAAAAAGGAGCTGGGCGCGGTGGCTCATGCCTGTAATCCCAGCACTTTGGGGGCCCAAGGTGGGCAGATCACAAGGTCAGGCTTTCAAGACCAGCCTGACCAACTTGCTGAAACCCTGTCTTGCCTCCAACTACTGGGGAAGCTGAGGCAGGAGAATCACTTGAACCCACGAGGTGGAGGTTGCAGTGAGCCGAGATCACGCCACTGCACTCCAGTCTGGTTGACAGAGTGAGACTCTGTCTCAAAAAAAAAAAAGGAAAGAAAGAAAGAAAGAAAGAGAGAGAGGAAGGAAGGAAGGAAGGAAGGAAGGAAGGAAGGAAGGAAGGAAGGAAGGAAAGAAGGAAGAGAAAAAAAGAAAAAAGAAATTGAGAAAGGATTTGGCTGGAACAGGGTTCCCCAACCCCTGGGTCACAGCCCAGTACCAGTCGGCCACACAGCAGGAGGTGAGTGGTGGGCAAGCGAAGCTTCATCTGTATTTACAGCCACTCCCACTGCTCCCATCACTGCCTGAGCTCCGCCTCCTGTCAGATCAGCGGCAGCATTAGATTCTCAGAGGAGCACCAACCGTATTGTGAGCTGCACTTGTGAGGGATCTAGGTTATGCTCCTTAGGAGAATCTAATGCCTGATGATCGGTCACTGTCTCTGATCACCCCTGAGACGGGACCGTCTAGATGCAGGAAAACAAGCTCAGGGCTCCCACTGACTCTACATCATGGCATTACACTTACATTACGATGTGTAATTGTTTTGCAATAATAATAGAAATAAAGTGCACAGTAGATGTGATGCTCCTGAATCATCCCGAAACTATCCCCCACCCCCCCCCCGCCCCTGGTCTGTGGAAAAATTGTCTTCCACAATACTGGTCCCTGGTGCCACAAAGGTTGGCGAACCACTGGGCTAGAAGGTAGTCATTGATAGCTTTTAAGGAATTTAATACTGGAATACAGGTATAGCCAGATTGCAGGGATTCAGAAGAGAACAGAAAGAGACAGATGAGACTTAGTGGGTATAAACAATGTCTTTTAAGGAGTTTTCTCAGAAAGAAGAAAGGAGGGCAGTTATTGGGAGCAGCAGGCTCAGGGCAGCCACTGTAAGTTGGGAGAAGTGTATGTGTTTTAAGAAAAAAAGCAAGAAGCCTTCAGGAGATTCTATTTATTAAAGAATGTGGGAGAGGAGCTACCATGAGAACAAAGTCAGGAGCAGAGAAGAAGCGAAAGGACGCAGAGGTGCCTCAGGAACAGAAGAAGAAAGGAAAGCGAAGGGTTGGTGCAGGAGAAGGTTTGTGAAGGTAAAGAAGATGAATATGAACTAGGTTATGCGTGGCGGCATCAGACCTATTTGTGAAGTAGGAGTAAAGCTGTTTACTGAGGCATGACTATTTTTATTATTGGATAAAGGCTGACAGAAGGTAGAGGTGCATAGGGATTAACAAGAGGTGAACAACTGGAAGAAGATAAAATTGCATTTCTCTGTGGCCTGGCACTGGCTAACTCCTTCTAGTTACAAGTCTCTCTTTTGCATAGTTCTATGCACTTAACTGTCTCCTGCTTCAATTAGCTTTCCTGACTCTTTTGGTGGCTTTTTTTTTTGAGACAGAGTCTTATTCTGTGGCCAGGCTGGAGTGCAGTGGTGCAATCTTGGCTCACTGCAATTTCTGCCTCCTGGGTTCAAGTGATCCCTGCCTCCGCTTCCTGAGTCGTTGGGATTACAGGCATGCGCCACCACGCTCGGCTAATTTTTGTATTTTTAGTAGAGACGGGGTTTTACCATATTGGTCAGGCTGGTCTCGAACTCCTGACCTCATAATCTGCCCTCCTCAGCCTCCCAAAGTGTTGGGATTACAGGGGTGAGCCACTGCGCCTGGCCTGGTGGCCCTTTTTCTCCATGCTCTGTACAGTTCATGATCCGCAGGGTTTGTTTGCCATTGGGCTCTTCTCAGTGTCCACTTCTTCTTTCCTGGTCCCACTTCTGTAGCTTTATCCATTTGTTTATCAAATTCAACACAGCCCCAATCTTTCTTTTGAATTCTAGATCTGAACTTAGCTGTTTTTAGTGTCTCAGTTTCACTATGTGTAAAATCAAACTCTTCATCCATTTTGCTGTAAACCAACTCGAACGCGCGTCTCTGACTTCAGCAGGCTTGTCTGTCTCAACGGTGTCACCATAATTGCTCGGGTTTCCAAAGCAAAAAGCCATCAATGATCTCCACTTATTCATCAATCTTGATAACAATTGTCTAATTTTTAAAATCAATTTTATTTCTCAAATGTTGCATTTTTTTCCTGAGACATATATCAGTTTTTTTTTTCAACTTTTTTTTAACTTCAGGGGTACACGTGCAGGACATACATCCAAGTTCAGTTTTCCATCCTCTTCCATAATAACCTTCTTGTAAATCTCTTTGGTTCTGATCTTTCCCCTCTTTAACTAACTCATCCTCCATTTTATGAGCCCAACTGTAGGTTAATGTAAATGTTCTGAGCACTTATGAGATTGTAGGCTAGGCTAAGCCATAATATTCAATAGATCAGGTGTTAAATGCACTTTTGACTCATGGTATTTTCTTTCTTTCTGAAATGCAGATCTGTTTATGCCTCTCATGTTTCCATGTCCTTCAGCTATAGTTTTCACGGTGTTCTGAAGAACTCAGCGTTGGCTAGAGATGTTTCAAGGATCTCAAATTATATATCTGATCGAGAAAATGAACTTATATCATTGATCACAGTCTTTGACTGTATCATACTTGATAGAGATGAATATACCAGTGGAAAGAAATACAGATGTTTCTTGACTCACCATGGGGTTACACCCTGATAAACCCACTCTAAATTGAAAATATCATAAATCGGACTAGGTGTGGTGGCTCATGCCTGTAATCTCAGCATTTTGGGAGGTCAAGGCAGGCAGATCACCTGAGATCAGGAGTTTGAGACCACCCTGGCCAACATGGTGAAACCCTGTCTCTACTAAAAATAGAAAAATTAGCCAGGAGTGTTGGTAGGCACCTGTAATCCCAGCTACTCGGGAGTCCGAGGCAGAAGGAATGCTTGAACCCGGGAGATGGAGGTTGCAGGGTGCCCGTATCACACCACTGCACTCCAGCTGGGGCAACAGATTGAGACCGTCGAAAAGAGAAGAGAGAAAGGGAGAAAGAGAGAGAGAGGAAGACCCATAAGTCAAAAATGCATTTAATACCTAATGTACTGGACATTATGGCTTAGCCTAGCCCACTATCTTATAAGTGCTCAGAACATTTACATGAGCCCACAGCTGGGCAAAACCATCTGGCATCACAGGACGGGGAGAAGACTGGACGCTTACCGTTGTGATCACGTGGCAGACCGAAAGCTGTGGCTCCTGCCACTGCCCGGAGTCTTGAAAGTCTTGTACTTTCCTAGCCCAGGAAAAGATCAAAATTCAAGATTTAAAGTATGGTTTCTACTGAATGCACATGTTTTCTCACCCTTGTACAGTCAAAAATTCTAAGTTAAGTCATGGTAAGTCAGAGACTATCTGCACATCAAGTCACTAGATAAATAGACTATTAGAGAAACACAGTTGATACCATTATCTTATAACACATCCAGAGAAATGCACCCATGATGCTTAAAGAATAAGCATGAAGCCACAAAAACTTTCCAAACCAACTGGACCAGAGTCCAATATTGCCAATTCCTCTATTTTGCATATCTTTGCATGCAAAAAGAGATGTATTATAAATCAAATGTATAACATACACATAACAGGGGAAAGTGCTTGGATCAGCTTTGAGACATTAAATCAGGTGGAAAGAATGTGAAAAGCTGTATTTGTACTTTTGGCACAAAAACGATAGTAGAGAAAATAGGAGTAGTGATTTTTATAAAAGTTATTACTGATGTGTTTGATTAATCGTTTAATTTGCATAAACAAGCATTAGCCCTTAAGTAAAGTGCTGTTTTCTTTTCAAGCCAGTTTGCTTATTCTATGTAGATCAACAATTTTACTAAGACATAGTCTTTAACATTCCAGGACATTGGTCTGGGCAAAAATTTCTTGAGTGAGACCTCGGAAGCACAGACAACCAGCACAAAGATGTCCAAATGGATCACATCAACTTAAAAAGCTTTTGCACAGAAAAGGAAACAATCAACAAATTGAAGAGACAACCCACAGAACGAGAGAAACTATTTCCAAATGGCCCATCTGACGAGGGATTAATAAGCAGAATATAGAAGAAACTCAATAAGACAAAAACAGCTGGGCACGGTGGCTCATGCTTGTAATTCCAGCACTTTGGGAGGCCAAGGCAGGCGGATCACGAGGTCAAGAGATCAAGACCATCCTGGCCAACATGGTGAAACCCTGTCTCTACTAAAAACACAAAAATTAGCTGGGTGTGGTGGCGCGCGCCTGTAGTCCCAGCTACTCAGGAGGCTGAGGTAGGAGAATTGCTTGAACCCAGGAGGTGGAGGTTGCAGTGAGTCAAGATTGCGCCACTGCACTCCAGCCTGGCGCCTGGTGACAGAGCGACACTCTGTCTCAAAAGAAAAAAAAAACAATCTGATTAAAAGTGGGCAAAAGATCTGAATAAACATTTCTCAAAAGAAGACAGGCAAATGGTCAACAGGTATATGTAAAAATTCTCAACATCACTAATCACCACAGAAATGCAAATCAAACTATAATGAGATATTATCTCACCCCAGTTAAAATGGCTTTTATTCGAAAGACAGGTAATAACAAATGCTGGTGAGGATGTAGAGAAAGGGAAATGCTTGTATTCTGTTGGTAAGAATGTTAATTAGTACAACCACTATGGAGAATAGTGTAGAGGTTCTGCAAAAAACTAAAAAAAAAAAAAAAAATCAGAAAGATATGAAAGCTGGCACAATTACTGTACCGCTGAGAAAGACGTCGCTAAGTGTGGATTATTGTTTATTTGAAATATTCATATCAGTACCTTGTTGGGAGACCGAAAGCAAGACTCTGTCTCAGAAAAAACCATTTGCTGGCCGTGTCCCCACAAGGTGTATGCTGGGTATATATCCACAAGGAGAAAGATCAATATATTAACATGATATTTATACTACCGTATTTATTGCAGCACTGTTCACTACGGCCAAGAGATGGAAACACTCTATCAGAGGCCAGGAAGGCAAGTGGGAGGTGGGGGTAGAGATGGTTAAAGGGTACAAAAACATTCGATTTTTATCAATAGAATAAATAAGATCTAGAATCTGGTAGCACAATAGGGTGACCACAGTTTACGATAATTTATTATATATTTAAAAATAAATAAAAGAGCAGTGTTGAAATGTTTTTAACAAAAAGAAATAAT